GTAATGACCGTAATTTCCGGACTATAAGCCGCGACTTTTGTCACACGCTTTCAACTCTGCGGCTTATTTCATGAGGCGGCTTATATAAAGACTTTTCTAACGGCCGCCTATGTACCGTCTTTCTTTGTAAATATCTCATGTTACAATATGGGCACTTGCGGTGCGGCTTATGTGTGTACAAAATTTTTTTTTCCTTTAAAAATGTAGTGGTGCGGCTTATAATCAGGTGCGGTCTATAGTCCAGAAATTACGGTGTATATATATGTATATATTTTTTTAATTTTCATGAATCTAACATTACACTTCAGGATGTTTGTAGGGACAAGGCATTGGTATCATGTTAACTTTGATTCCACTTAAAAGGTGTGACGAAAAAAAATAACCTGTCAGTAGCAGATCCAGGCTTCGCATCCGAGGTTCTGGAGATTGGCGACTTGGTGTCTGTTCGGGTTTTGGTGCTGGTGCAGCGAGAGTAGCTCAACTGATGAATTGAAGTGAAGAAGAGTACTTTGGTACAATACGCATATCGTGTCTGTACATGCATTCATGTTATTTGGAGTCTCTTGCATGAAATCTATGGGACAATTTTTATGTTGAACGCCCTTCCTGACACAACCAACACATTTTTTTTATCTGGGCTTTGTACCGCTTCATGGCCAGTAAATGCACGTACGGTATCAACTAATGATAGGATTCAGTCATCGAGAATTCCGTGCTGGGAATAAAATCCAATTTTGTACCTGGTCAGCTCCTGAAAATTCAAGGTTGAATCCAACTCGCTTCCGCGAGGGACTGGCTACAAAAACAATATACAAATGTATGATTTGAGTTGGTTTGCATTTTTATCCTTGAAGCCTGAATAACTCAATCATATTTCTCTTGAAAAATTTTTGCGGAATACATTGACGAAATCTATACATGAACATGCAAACACGAGTTTATAGATCAAATGTACACCTCATCATATCATGGCTACATCAAAATGAGTGAAGTAAAAGTAATAATATGAATTATATTAATAAGGCAAATTCTTTTGATGATAAATATTTTTTTTATGCACCCCGTAACCTGAGAACATGGTGGTAAACTGTCCACTGTTTTAACCACTGTCCCTGAAAGGGTTAAAACGCTTTATATCAACTCATTGTGTGTTAGTAAATAAACGTCAGCAGTTATATATTAATAAGGCAAATTCTTTTGATGATAAATATTTGTGAATGGACAAGGAGCCATTTTTCATAATCCCTGTACCCCATAACCTGATAACATGATAAACTGTCCACTGTAGTAACCGCTGTCCCTGAAAGGGTTAAAAAGCTTTACATCAACTCATTGTGTGTTCGTAAATAAATATCGGTAGTTATGTAACATTTCAAAATATGTGAAAAATAATTAAATTCACTCAAATCGATTTCTAGAACGTAAATATTTTCCTATTTGAGTGGCATAAGATCAGAAACATTGTTCTTTTTTAAATCACATACTGATGCATGGATGAATGGATGGTATCACCGAGACTGTAGTAACCGCTGTCCCTGAAAGGGTTAAAAAGCTTTACATCAACTCATTGTGTGTTCGTAAATAAATATCGGTAGTTATGTAACATTTCAAAATATGTGAAAAATAATTAAATTCACTCAAATAGTTTTCTAGGATGTAAATGTTTTCCTATTTGAGTGGCATAAGATCAGAAGCTGTTTTCTTTTTTAAATCACATACTGATGGATGGATGAATGGATGGTATCACCGAACCACCGATAATTGAAGGGTTTATGATAGCATTCTGTTGCAGCACTTGGATAGAACAATTTTTGATTCCAGGCGCCTCGCCGTTGCAGCAAACGTGCTTCAGCTATGCTGCGCCAGCAACACTGCATTCCATAGTGCCGCCCGCCCCCCCTATCCCACCACATACACAATAAATGGGTTCGTTGATGGCGTGCTGCTACGTGCAGTGTGAAAAGGCCTTCAGTGTTCAACAAAACTGAGAAAGATATTTGAAAATGTCATCTTATTGTAGGCGGTGTAACATTAAGTGCGGCTTAAAAATTTACACGGCGCTTCAGCATAAGAAAATGAAAATAAAATACCCTATTTTCTGCACTCTAATACGCCCCTAAAAGCATTAGATTTTCTCAAAAGCCGACAGTGCACCTTATAATCCGATGCGGCTTCTATATGGATCAGTGTTCTGATTTCTTAGACGTAGTATTTTAAATGTTCTGTAAAGCGCTTTGCTAAAGCTGCAGCGGTTGTGAAAGCTCTACTTCAATAAAGCTGTATTGTATTGTATTCCCTTTAGTGTAGCTCCATCTAGTGGATGCACAAGGCAACCGCAGCCAGTGCTCTACATAAATAAAGCGGTGTTTTATTATATTGTATTTCCTTTAGCGTAGCTCCATCTAGTGAACGCATAAAGCAACCTCAGCCACTATTGTAGCTTCTATTCTATGCGCCTTAAAATGCGGCGCGCCCGATAGATGAACACAGTTTTAAAATAGACCATTCATTGAAGGTGCGCCTTATACTCCGAAGCACTTTATAGTGCGGAAAATACGACAGCCAAAAGAAATTGCACGTTAAAGTTAAATAAACGGTGTACTTCCAATAAAAACACACGCAGTCTCGCACAAACATATCTTGCTCTCAACTAGTCATGTCTTTGGTTCTCTCCCAGGATGTGTTCTTGATATGCTTCTCCCTGGTCAGTCCGGCTTCCTTTGAGAACGTCCGAGCTAAGGTCAGTACGCTGACTGATCGCCCGAACTCCCTCCCTTTCCTTTTTACTCCCACCACGCCGAGTCTGACCACAACGAGGCACATCTTTGGCTCCACCTGGCTTAGTACACTGCCCACTACTCATCCAGACCTCGTTTTACAATCTACTGGATTTGTACCCTCTGGGCCATAAAAAAAAGGTTGCAAAATGAGGTCTGAATGAGTTTAAACACTCTGCAGAGTGAGCGCGCCGGCCCTCTGTGGTTTCGTCTGCTGAGTATCATGAGATACTTTCGTATGAAATCACACTTTTTCTGAGGGTCAAAGCTCACAGTGTAGCGTGGATAGGTTGCCTGGGGATATTCTGTGCTCATACATGCTTGCATTCCAGATTGATCCGTTAGTAATGTTGTCATAGTCACGGAAAGGCGTGCAACGCTCGGCCTTTGTATCAAACTAACTATTCTCTTTCTCTCCTGTCACCAACTTGGTACATGCATTTGTGCGGATGTGTGCATGTGTCTGTGTGTCCTTGGATTTGTGTGTCTTGTATGTGTGGCGCTTCAGTGGTACCCTGAAGTGAGACATCATTGCCCCAACACGCCCATTATCCTTGTGGGCACCAAACTAGACTTGCGAGATGACAAGGATACCATTGAGAGGCTGCGGGACAAGAAGCTCTCCCCCATCACCTACCCACAGGGTTTGGCCATGGCAAGAGAGATTGGTAAGATCATGTGTTCCAAATGTCAAGGGCGGTGCATTTCATTTGATGTTTTTCCAGCATTTCAGTAATTCTAATGCAAATGTGACCCGCCACAACAAAAAGAGTCACAATGATGAATATTCCAATGATTATCGCAACCATACAAATACTACAAGAGAACTTTTTTTTTCCAAATGGTATATTTTGATAGCACATGATATGGCTTTGACAAAACAGTCAAGCTCGTGAAAATCAGTTGAGAAATATGTTATCTTATTTTCAAAGTCCACGCATTGCCATTGAAGGAAATGTTGCCCCTACCAATTATTTCCCTTTACGTTACTCAAACAAACAGCAATACACCAATTAGCGTTCAGTATTTTTTGGTCGTGGCAAATTTTAATGAAAAATCTTGCACATTTGTGGCCTAATTTTTGCTCAGAATGACATAGAATGATTTAAAGGACCATTTATTTTTGGTGTACACTGTCAGGAAGGCAACACGCTGCGAAAGCCATCTTAAAAATAAAAGCTCTACAAACAATACATGACCGGCAATGCCTTGGTAAGCTTTTATTTTGAAGTTGGCTCTCTTGGCGCATGGCAGCTGGCTTGACTTGTCTTCTCGAGTGGAGGCTGGCCTGAGCTCAGTTCTTGTAGTCATCACATACTGTTACCACCAACATCAACACGTCATTCGGAAATCATGATCCGTTGCTAATTAAGGATGCTAAAAAAAAAAAAAAAAAAAAACAGCTAATTAATGATGCCGTCACTGTATCATATGGCAGCAGTCATAGTAGCGGTGAAGACAGGCTGGCAACAGTTGTGAATTGAGATATTAGCGCTCCATTGATGACGTCTCTTTGTTGTGGTCGTGCATGCACTTTGCTCAAGGTAGTACGAGTTCATTGAAGTAGTTCAGATTAGCTGTTCCTGAAGGTAATATTCAGGATTTTTGATTTCCCAGAGTGTAAATAAAACATGTCTTATTGCTTCACTTTTTGGCGTTGACATGAAATGTCAAGGGGAACCCTAACAAGCAGCCCCAGCGATGGCAGTTATTGTCAATATGTCAATATGTTTTGTTATGTTTTTTTTTTTTTTTGGCAGAGAAAAGTATTGGCCAACTTGGGTTTGATCATTAAGCTGGTAAAGTTAAAAAAAAAAAAAAAAAAAAAAAGAAAAGATAACCAAAACGCTAACTATGGACAGCAGATGTCAGTACTGGGTGTCTGTTGGATGAGATCACCGTGTATAAAATCAATGTGGACGCTCTGAACATGGCACAGCTGGACTGTGACAAGCAGCTCATGATCGATCAAAGTGTTTGACTACAAAGAGCCTCACAAAAGATAGAAAAGATTATTTCATTTTAGAATGAGAAGCAATCGTGTAATAGACATACATACATACATACATACATACATACATACATACATACATACATACATACATACGTACACGGGCACACATAACCACACACAAGTGCGTGGCACGGTGCGCTCACACAGGCACACACACACACACACACACACACACACACACACACACACACACACACACACACGACTAAATACTACTGCTACTAAATAATGTGCAAACAGTTTGTAAACTTGTTAAATGTAAAATTGTTACACTGGTGAGCATTTGTAATTGTATTTTGCCATCAAAAGCACATTTTCATTGTTGTTATTGCCATTTTATAGACTGTTCAGATGATTGAGGCATCCAAAGCAAAAACTACTAGTCATAAAAAGTTACTGTTGTACATAGAGTATATCTTTTCACATCTAGCTTGTTTTCACAATAGGCTTTTTTGGCGGGGAGAAATTAACCCATGTTCTGCTGATTACTAGCAAATTGAATTAATAAACAGTTGGAACAAATTAGGGCATTTACAAGGAAAACGCGTCTCTACAAAATTTTCAAGTTACGAAATTTCTTCCAGAACCAATTAATTTTGTAAGTAAGAGGTACCACTGTACTTCAGATCAGTTCAGTCGAGTAACTCGCTTAAGGATACTTTGATGTTTGCTGTTGACGAGCTTGAAGCCGAGAGACGCTACCACCTTTGACAGGCTGACGGACTTTGGTGGGCCCGGGAAACAATATCTTTTTGAGGGGGGAAACATGTCCCCTGATCATGGTCTTTTCCTGGTCCTCAGGAGCTGTAAAGTACCTCGAGTGTTCTGCGCTGACCCAGCGAGGTCTGAAGACAGTGTTCGACGAGGCCATCCGAGCCGTGCTCTGCCCCCCGCCTGTGAAGAAGAGGGGTGCACCATATTTTGAGAAGACAATCGTAAAAAAAAAAAAAACATGTCAACTGCAAGTCATTAAACAAGAACCACTACATCTGTAGGATGACGAGGAGAGGAAACTAGCTCGAGTGGGTGTGCACTGCTAAGATTGCTTTCTTTCTATTGATGTTTTTTTTTTCAAAGCGATATTGGTCACAGGACCGATATTTCTCTTGATTGTGTTCTCATTACTGAATAAGGTCAAAATACATTGACCTGCAGTACTTTGTATCCATAGAACCACACCGAGTTCCCATGAGGGCTATAACAAAGGTTTCTATTCCTCGTCTGACACAGCTACGTTCCCGTCTTTCGTAGTCCTGCTTGCTTGAATGAATGCCGTGTTGAGCGATAGAACGTGAACTGTGAACTTGTCTTAAAAATGCCGGAGTCAATTCTTAGATTAGGAGATTACGGTGAGGAACTACTTGAAGATTTAGCCGCCAATAAAACTAGTCCTTGGATTACAATTCAACCCTTTCACACAACCTGTAACCTGGTAACATGATAAACTGTCCACTGTAGTAACCGTTGTCCCTGAAAGGGTTTAAGCATGATGACACCATTGTTACTGAACACTTTTATTTAAAAAAAAAAAAATTGCGCTGGGATTTACTTAATCCTGATTCATAGAAAAATACGAAATAATTTGCCTTTGGTAAAATACAACCTGAACTGCATTTATAGCCGATAGACATCATGAAAATATTTATGAATTAAATTACAAATACCTCCAAGTACTGTCCTGCCGTTTGATTAGAAGGACTTTAAGAGGTTAACATGATGAAAAAATACTTTCGATTAGGTAGGCGAAATTAAGCAAACACTAGAATAATGGTTGAAATTTTGAATTTAAGCCTTTCATGCACCCTGTAACCTGATAACATGATAAGCTGTCCGCTGTAGTTACCGCTGTCCCTGAAAGGGTTGAGCAAAATGGCAAGAACATTTTTGCTAGGTGGTTGTTATATTATAAATTCTAACACATCTATAAAATGTGTCTCGCAAGTATAAATGAATAAATAATGTTTCATGGGAGTATTCATTAAAATGAAATACTTCAAAAGTCAAATACTCCCGGAAATAAAATGAACTGAGGAAAATTCTGGTCCATGATTCAGAAAATTTGGAGGTCATTTTTGGTCTGTGACTTTTTATGTCCTGTTATGTATTTGAACATACATCATATTTTATTATTCTTTGGGAGGTTTTAAGTTTGTTCTTTAGCCTTGCAGGGCCTTGCATAAAAACAAATTGTTTCAACCGGAAATTAGTTCGACGTGATGGCGTTGTATTTCGGAACAAACTGATTTAGCGTAGAAGGTGTTTTCACTTTATGTTGTCTGCCAATAACTAGCAGGTCAGTGGAATCTCTTTTTTTTTTGTGTATTGCATCTAAATTTACTTCAACGTTAAAATAAGAAATTATGTAATGGTTTGCCAGAAGACAATGACTGCTCGTAGCCCAACTCGCATGAGTTTTATAATATATTTGGCAAACGTGTTATTGCGGAGATAACGTTTTAACATCCTCCTTCTTTTCTGGCCTTTTGTTAATACGACACATTTATATCTAGCACAATGAAGGAATCTTGAATATATCAAAATTGTGCTGTATTCCATTGACACGAATAAACAGTGGCTTTACCCTCGTGATAAAAATGACTGCAGATATGCTGATATCACATTCTAAAGGACACAGTTGTGAATTTAAATCACTATTTGTTGAGATGTATTTAAAATCTTTGTTACAAAAAAAAAAAAA